ACAAGGTACTGGACAGTCATTTACAGCCTTGGGGGTGTGTATGCATGTATAAGGTACTGGACAGTCATTTACAGCCTTGGGGGTATGTATACATCCAGTTCAGTCATTGGTTGTGCTTATACTCTCTCATACAGGTATTACAGAATTACTAAATTCACAGCCAACAAAAGAGTAACATTAGAACAGAGTTCCAGATAGAGTTTAAGAAGCCATACAGGGAAATGCTTCAGCATGATTCCAGTTAATAGGCAATTAGCACAAATCAGAATGTCTTCAACTGCAAGTACCAGAAATATAGCTCAATTCTGTTTATCCAAGAAAGGGAGTTTATTGGTTTGTGTAAGGCATCGGGTTCCTTTTTGCTGTTTGCCATTATCTCTGGCATATCAGTATGCTCTGTGTTGGCCAGGTGATTGTTCCCGCTGTGTATCTCACACAGCTCCATCTAGAGCCATCTTCAAGCAGAATCCCCACAGCCACCACTGATAAACACATCTACCCCAGGCCTACAATATGGCCAATCTCTGAACTGCAGCAGAAGACAGAAATAAACCAGGTGGCTTTGGGTGGACATGCCTCATTCCTAGAACTCGGGTGGGATCTGCCCTCTTGGAACTCACATCAGCTGGTGAGACACAGCAGAGCTACACCACAGCATCAAATGCTAACAGCAGCTTCCTTCACTTGTACAGGAAAACTGTTAGAAAACATGGGCATTGATTTTTCTCCTCTAACAAATTACTATAAACAACACAAAATTATCATCTGTGCAGTTTCTGAGCTCAGAAATACAAACAGATCTCACTGGGATAGTCAGGGTGTCCATGGGATGATGCTCCTTCTGTAGGTTACAAGAAGAATCCAGTAGTGCCTTGCGCTCACCACTCTCCTTGGCTTCTTGCCCACTGTGTTCAAAGGCAGCACCTGCCACACTCTACTTCTACTGCTCAGCCTCTGTCTTTCACTTTGACTTTCTCATCTTTGCTCCAGCAATGACAACAGAGCCCTAATGTTACAAATTAAGTTCCTATTTCTTGTGTGCTGTAAAGTGATGTCTTCCCAGTTGTCTGGACTCCAGCATGATGATAAGAGTCCAGACATCGTTGGGAAACATTCCTCCATGTTCTTCCTTTAGCTCTCTCTCCCTGTTAACCTCTGGACTTTTCCACCGGGCTTCTTTGTTCCCAGACATAATGACTCTGAGACTATTTATTTACTAATAAATGCTTAGTCCATAAGCTTCAGCTTATTCTCTAACTAGCTCATAACTCATTGATCCCCTTTATTCTAACCTGAGTTTAGCTACGTGACTGCTTTCCTCTCCTTGTCTTCTTACATTCATTTCCTCAGCATTCCTATTTCCCTGTTGGATGTCCCACCTCCTATTTTCTGCCTCAGCTCATTGGCCATAGACTTCTTTATTGACAAGTGATGTTTATAAGAGATGTTCCACTCTGTCCACTCTGACCGTCTTTATAGTTCACAATAAATAATAGACACAACAATGGAAGTATAGGTATTTGTAGTGACTGTATATCTCAGGAACTATAAAGGGGGTGACTTTTCCTTAATTAATTGCAAGCTAGTGACCCTAGCCTGGAGCAGAAGATGTACCTCAAGAAATAAAAAGACTTATTGCTAAGGCACAACAAGTACATGACCTTGGTGTGGATTCCACATGTGTCCAGAGGCCCTAGAAAAGGTGTGCTTAGGTCTAATGGAGACCACAGGAGAGGATTAGTGTTAGAATGACCTCTGGAACCCCTCGTTTCATAGCAGACTATGAAGAGAGCCTGGGTTGGTTGGCTTGGTTTGGTTAGTTGAAAGGATTCTCCATATCTCAGGATTGTTTCCTGCAACATAACCTTGAGAAGTAACCCATGTTAAAGTTTAAAGGAGTTGGCATTCTCCAGCAGCCCAGCAACAAGATACAGGTGTGCTGAAGGAATGCGATGTAATGTTTCTGCCAACACACTGTCCTTTCAGGTATCCTTGAATATGTACAGGATGGCTCACCAGCCCCTGTTCCCAGTGTGCTCACTTTGGGGCTACTCTTAACCTTGGGTAGTATTGATTTTTTTTGTTTTTTCAAGACAGGGTTTCTCTGTGTAGTTCTGGCTGTCTTGGAACTCACTCTGTAGACCAGGCTGGCCTCGAACTCAGAAATCCGCCTGTCTCTGCCCCCCAAGTGCTGGGATTAAAGGCGTGTGCCACCACCATATTGATTCTTAGAATAAACAGGTGTTTTCACCTCTATTTTCACTCTAAAAGAAAAGCATGTTTGTATCAAGGCTTTATATATAGAAAGATGTAAATCGTGCCTTCTGAGTTAACTCACCTTTGAACTGTCTGCTGAATGACAGTGATGGAAGCTGTCAGTCATCACAATCCTAGGTGGGAAGGGCTCTAGGCTGATGTGCTGGGCTGATGTTCATTCTCAGAGTGGAGATAAATTCAGTGGTTGGGACCTTCAGTCCAGCCTCCAGTTCTGTCATTAACAAGAGTAAAACGAATGACTCAGTACTTGCTGAGTGTGGTTTACATGCCTATAATTCCTGTACTTGGAACCAAAAGCAAGAAGATCTATGGTTCATATAACCTCACTACAGAAGAGACCTAAGGCCAGCCTGGACTGAGTAGAAGAAAGTGGAGAAGGGAAAAGAAGAGAACAAAAACCATCCTTAATTTTCTTTCTTTTTTTAACCTTTGTGAGGAGAGGTTGGGTCACTGTGTGTCCGTCTCTCACATGGCTGTCTCTCACATGGCTGTAGATCGCGCTCACTCCGCATTGTGTTTGAGAGAGGGCTTCTTGTTCACTGTTGCATATATCAGGCCTTCCTGTGAGTTTCCAAGATTGTTGGATTCTCCTGAGCTCCTCCTCCATCTTACTTTGGGGAGACTGGGGGCACAGACACACATGAAGAAGTTCATTAAATCCTGCCCACACTTTGTGGGGTGCCTGGACTCGGCCCCTGTAAAGTGAAGCTTCTGAAATGACTAGAACGTGGTCCAAAGATTGTTTAAACTATTTGAAACCTTTGTAACTCTTTTGTTTCTCCTTTGTAATTCCTTTGTCTATTATACAGAGATGGTTGCCCAGTGGTGCCTAGTTCAACCAGATCTGCCATTTCTGTACCCAGGTTCACCAAAACCAACGGTATGAACATTTACTTTCACATGCTTCACAGAGAGGTACCTTTCTTCTTGGACAGCAAGTTAGATATTGTCATTAAGCTGTTTATTTTAACTTTCTGGGATATTTTACAGAATCTAAGTGAAAATACTCTAAGTGTTAATATCACTGAAACTCAATATATATTAGAAAAATAGGAAATCAGAGTAGACCATGAAATACATAGTGCAGTGGAATTGATGCCCTGTCCTCAGGCACCCCCACCCCCACCCCCAGGCGTATAGGAGCCTCTATTTCCTACCAGGAGCAACCTTAACTTGTCTTGACCTAGTGAGGCTCTAATGAGGCCTGTATACCGCTTAGTAATTTATACAGATATTTACAGAGTGTCTCCTCTGTCTCAGGGACCCATCTGGTCATTGTGGGTTTACAAATACAGACACAGCTGTCTACCTCACATGACAGTGTAGTGACAGAAACAGTAGAAGAGATGTAGCAGCCATTGTCTTTAATGCTCATTGTGCAGAAAGCATTCCTATTTAATCCTCATAATAACTGGATAATTCTAAAGTTGCTGTTTTATCACTTTATAGAAAGAGAAACTGAGGCACCGAAAAGTTTGATAACTTTGCTAAAGCCCACAAAGTTCATAAAGAACAAACCTAAAACTTAAACCCAGAAAATATGATCCTCACCTGTTTATATAATCGGGGCCTACAAATGAAGCTTTTGTTGCTCAGAGAGATGTCAGGCACAGAGGAATGTGTGTGAACTAGAGCTTGATACTTTGCACAGAGCCAGTCTTCCAGGTTTGCAGAGGGCAGCATCTGAGTACTAACAGCAGGCTGGAAATCTCGAGGTTTGTCTGTTAGAGCTAAAGCTTCTGAGAGTCAGAGGTCCATCCCTGCTCTTCTGAGAGCCAGAGGTCCATCCCCTGCTCTGGATCAGTTCACTTTAGAGCAGGCTAGCTCCTGAAACACTGTGATAAACATTTGCCGCCTGTTTGTCTTTCTAGGGCCCCACACCTCTTTCCACACCTGTGGAAAGCTCCTTGAGCTGTCTGTTCTCTAGCTTGTCTCCCATGGGACTAACTTCTTTGAGATCAAGAGGGTAAAGAGAATTATAGAGTAGGAGGGGAAATTGTAAATAACCTGCCTGTGATTTCTTACAGTGTGTGGGGAAGACTATTAGATCTAGTAGCTTATTACTGATAGGCCTTTAAAATTATTTTTCCTAGAGTTCTAAAATGCTTTCTGTACTGCTTTCAAATAAAGTGAAAAGATTCTTAGGGTCTTTATAACAGCAACCATAAAGTTATATAGAAATACATTCATAGGAATTCCACAACCTCCATCTTGGTGCCAGAATTCCCTACAGGTCATTCTCAGCTCCAGAACTCATGTGCTGCCAAGAGGGAGAGTCAGCGTTGATCTAGAAATGCACTAAAGTACTTTCCCGTGGATCCACCTGTGGTGTGTCCACCCGGTGCTGCCTGTGCTGCAGCACTTTGTGAAGTGAACAGAGTCTATGCACCCACACAGTGAGTGTGAACACAGCTCTGCACTTGGGACGTTGTAAGCTGAGCCTCTGTAGGTGGAATAGTTTCCATTCATGTCTCCTACCTGAGTCATTCAGTTCCAAACAGCTTGTTTTGTGAGACTTGATACAGGGTCTCCTTCTGTAGCCCAGGCTGGCTTCAAATTTGTAGCAATCCTCCTGCCTCTGTTTCCCAAGTTCTGGAATTGCAGATGTAAGCAATATACCTAGCTCCAAATATTTTGACTTGTTGTTTGTTTGTTTGTTTGTTTGTTTGTTTGTTTTATAAGACAGGGTTTCTCTGTGTAGTCCTGTCTATCCCGAAACTCACTTTGTAGCGCAGGCTGGCCTTGAACTCATAAAGAGCCACCTGCCTCCTATTCCCAAGTGCTAGGATTAAAGGTGTGCACCACCTGACTCCCAATCAGCTTCCCTATGAACTATTTTCTTTCTCTCAGGGATTTGGTTCCCCTACCCCTGGTGTGGTGGTGCACACCTAGTTTCAGCACTTGGGAAATGGCGGCAAGAGGGTGAGACAGGCATCCTCATCTGTACGAGCTAAGGCCAGCCTAGGCTATGTGAGACCCATCTCTGTGTGTCTCTGGTAATGCCAGTTGTCTCACCACCCTGTGCTGTTCCTTTCAGGTCTTATCAGCATGGAGCCTTGTGGACAGCCTGCACTGACACCGAAGAACTCCTTCTCCAAGGCAAGAGCAAAAACTCTTTCGTGTCCTGTCTACTTGTAATAACCAATGTGCTTACGTTTCGTACCAAATTGATTTCATAATTAAATGTTCTTCAGACACATATGCTAATAGTAGGAGTCTATTGCGATGAACTAACAGGCTTTGTTAAGTAAACTCACACTGCAGAGCCTTCAAGCCTGCACCCTCTGGCACATAGGCTTTTTCATGGCTAATGACTGGACTAACAAACGCCAGCATCTGGACGGTTCAGTTAGTGTACAGGGTTCCTTCACTTGTCTCTTGGAGTGCAGGAATCGAAGTGTGTAATTAACAACAGAGTTGCTCTTGTGGACTTGCATTAGCACAGGTGGCCTGAGAAGGTTAAACTCATGAACCTGGTAAGGAGCAACAGCACTAGCCAAAGAAATGGACGCACTTGTTTTGAACCAGTCAAGATTAGCACAAAGACACCTGGAGTAATTTGACAATGTTTTAAATACTCTGTGAGTTCCACTCTCTGCTCTGTCTTCACGGGCACCTGTATACCCCTAAGTTTAGGTAATGTTTACTTTTCTTCCTTCCATGTCATGTGAGTTGTCATGTCACAGGATCATGGCTGGGTTCTTATTCTCCTGAAATTTATCCTTCACTTACTCCATGCAGTCCAGTCCAACCCTCACTATTCAGGTGTCTGCTTGTGTCATTTAAAAGGCATATCTTCCCATGTGAGATGCTTTGCTTTTTAGTATTCTGAGAAAACCACACCATCTCAACATGTTCTCGACATGAGCTGGGTTTTGTAGAAGAGGATTCATATAGTGAACGGAAGTACCGTTCTGTGCCTTTCTCATAGCACATGATGCCATGGTACCTAGTCTAGGTAGATGTCCTGAGACACTGCATCTGCAGCAGGAGCCTGTGAGGGCAGAAAGGACTGTGACACCAAGTGGTGTCTGTCCACCCACTGTGTGTGCTCTGCTCTGCAGCAGCAATGTCAGTGCGTGTGCTGAGTGTG